CATGAATTATAATTCAAGTTTTGAATCTCCAGGTACTGCTAATTCTCACACTGGCAAAGTTTCTTATCCTGGACAAAGAGGGGGGTGTTTTATGGGGGGTATCTTTTCTCTTTTATAAAAGATATGGTTTATCAAAGCCTAGAAATAAATGACAGTTAATCAACATGCTTGCTTAAGAAAAATCAGATTTTTGTTTAATCAAGTTCCCAAAAAGCTTATATAAAACTTAGTGCTTCAGAGACTTCTGAACAGAGTTGAGGTTAAAGCTTCTTAAGCCCCCGATTCGAAAATATGTGAGGGCTAAGTAGTAAAATACACCTGAAAAGAATTAAAGTCATCAAGGAAATGTTATTTTTTGAGTACGTTATTCCTCTCACTCATCTTCAAAAAGGACAGAATTCAAACGTATTAACTGAATATAAGCAAACAGTTCACTACCAAGTTCCAAAATCTACATCTCTCTGCAAAAAGAAATAAACACATCACAAAACATTTTCCAGAACATTTAAGCATGGCAAAATCACCTAACCCAAAAGCAGTGAGCTGCTGTTAACTTTCACTTTTATGCTAATCACTTCTTCACGAATCACCAAGCATCTTAAAAACCTCCACATTGCTTCTATGTATTAAGTCCCTTGTCTATGTGAAATGAGTAAAACCAAGTCACAACATAACAACAGTCAATAGTAAAGGCAGTACATCCATTCAGCAAAACAGCACACGTTACATACAGACAGGACCCCTTTCCCAACTAATTCAACAGGTAACAAACATTAACGCGCTGTGGCATGGTCTAACAAGCCTTTCAGAAACGATGAGAATGACACACAAGACAACAGTCCATAATGTCCTTTGTTGACAGTGAGCAGCTAAAAGAAAATGAAGGTAAATAGCACAAACCTGTAGTAGGGTAATAAATTGGGAATATGCCTCATTTTCTATATTCACTCCCACATCTAACCAAGACTATTAGATTACAAGTAAAACTACTCGTACACTTTCATCTTCTTGTTAGAAGACATAACCTTCATAACCTAGCAGGGAGCAAGGAGCAAAATCTCAAACTACTTCTATGGTTAAATCTCTGGCCAAACACGTCCTTTTCACCTTGAATTATACCTGGACACACAAAATTAATCATGACACTTTGCATCTCCCTCAAGCCTCTTTGTTACTTCTGTTTCGGTTTGTTTTTTTACCCCCTAAAAAGAGAGTTACTGTAATGAGGAAAATGGCACTTTGACACTTCAGGACCATTTATACTGTAAATACACTCAGATAATACTAGCAATTGTTTCCAATGAATGTGTTCATTCTACAAAACTATCCATACATTATTTTCTACCTTTCCCATAGATTGTTCAAGATTGCATTTTCTCAGAGGAGCATACAGAAGTCTGAGAAAATATTTTGCATGAAGTTCTAAGTAGTCTGCATAGGTAAATAAAAGGAAGCAACGGAAGGTACACAAGTGATTTCCCTTGAGACTTACTGGAATGGCTTAGAGCCTAAAACTTCTGAATTCTACTCATATATATGTAACTAGTTTTACTAAATGAAACTACATTAACAAAAGTGTTTACCTGAAATTCCCCAATGGTAAAATCTTTAATTAGATATTTGGTTTAGAAAAATATCACCCATTTTTAAACGCTGATAAAACTCTACAAAAAAGACATTTTTCCTCCTCCTTCTAATCGAGGAAAGGAACATTAGAAAAGGTGAATCAACAACCTAGTGAAAGAAACTAGACAAGAACCCAGTTATAGGACCTGTGCCTGCCCCAGAACAACTAGGGTAACATAATCTCCCCTCTTCAACATTTCCTCCGATCCATTTACCATTAGATCACCTAAATACCTACGGGCCTTCACATTTTACCCAACTATTCTCGCAATAATAGCTTATGACTGATCAATTCATATCTTTCAGAAAAGCACAGTCTTCATTTCAATGTATGAAAAGAAATTCAACATTTCTTTTAACCTATGTCAGCATTCAATAGCAGTTACCTGTTAAATATCCTTCCGGTATTTCAAATATGAGTTTTTATGACTTAAACTTCTAGCTACTGACTTTTTTTTTTTTTTTTTAATTAGGGCTCTTTAGATATCGGTGTTGTTCCCTCCACTTCAATGTAGTAATTGTAACCTCTCAGTCTTCTCTTTTTTTTTTTCCCCGATACAACAAATACCCTTATGTAAGTCTATTAATGCAATAGATTTTTTTCAATCTTAAAAACAAAAATCCTATAGAATTACATGAAGTGGACATTTTTTCATTCCCAATACTTCAAACACTTTTTCAAATATGCATTGGATGCAGCCTTATTAAAACTTGCATATGGGAAAAAATTTCCTGACTACCAATAATTATTTTTATTTATACATACCAGGACTCCACTAGCCTTTATTGTCACAGCATCTTAGTAGAATTTGGATCGTTAAGAACACACAGGCCTTTTCTAAACCCACTCCTAGAATCTCATTTGGCAGATTCGGTTTGCATTCCTTCTTCCTAAATAAAGATCACTGCATAAGCCTCTTGTTCGAATTGGTTCAGCATACCAAGAAGGTTGGCTGCCCAGTGTGATTGTCTTTCATATGGTCATCAGTGATTTTTCCATTCACTTTTAAAACATTATTTAAAACTTGGAAGTTTAGGAAGACTATTGTTAAACCCTTTAGGTCTCCAAAAGAAACACTTCCATTTCATTATTCCCTGCTTGCGATTACTTTTTGAGATCTGTGAACTATCATTTTCTTAATCCATATACTGTGTCTTACTGATTTGTATATAATTACTATTTTAAATCAGAATGTCATGAGATACAACATCAAATGTCT